GACTGCGGCCTTTGGGTGTCGGCGGTGCAGTCGTGAGTGTGCCAGGTGGGAGAGCTGTGTGTGTGTGTGTCCGTGGGGGCAGACGTGTGTGTCACTTAATGATGTGTGTGCCCCTCTCGCTGTGGATGTGTGTCTGGGCTGGCTGGCTTGGACAGTGTGTTTTTGAGGGGCATGTGCACACCTGCCTGTAAGTGTGTGTTTGGTATGACCCGTGCTTATCCCCCACCCCAGGGTGTCAGGGATTAGGGGCTGCCCCCATCCGACAGCGGAGATCCCTCATTGTTGCCTGCAAAATCCCTTGTTCATCTATAGACTCAGATACTGCCTTCCAATGGGATGGGGTGTCCCAGGCCCCACCTGGCTCTGAGGCATGGATAGGGTCAAATAAGCCTGAAGGCAGCCCATTCCCGGTGGGAGCAGGATGATTGGAGAGGTGGACTGCACTCTGAGAACTGACTCTGAGTGATGTTTCCCCATTAACGGTGCCTCAGGCTGTTGGGAAGGTGTTTAATCGGGCTGAAGTCCCTCCCCCTCTAACCTCATACCTGGGCCTTCTTGTCCCTCATTCAGGAATCTGAATGGGTGGGCAGAGGGGCTCTGGAGAGACCCTTTCTGCCCTGACATGCCATTGCATGTTCCTCCACCCACTACACACAGTGACACAGCTGCAAGAGTGGTGGCTCCCTCCACCTTTGAATGAATGAAATCTTGAGCCTTTGAGAGACCTCCCCTCCCTGCCTCACTTCTCACCTAATGATGAAAATGAGCTGGCAGTGGATGAACAGTGTGTGTGGACCCTGTGATTCTGGTAGCTCTTCGGCTATCAGGCAATCGTAGGTAAAGTTCACAATTGGAAAAAAGCAATCCACTCTATCTGTTTTGAAGTACTCAAGCAATAAATGAATATAGAATCTTTACTTTAAAATATTGAAATAAAAAATTTACTTGCCTCATGACCAAATCCCTTCTTCTCCTAGAGGTCTCCCAGGAGGCCAGGAGCTACTGTGTGGCCAGTTTAGTCTGGGCCCTTCCAGACCTTTCCTGTGCATTTCCACATCTGTATCTATGTAAATATGGAGATACATCATAGTATATGCTGCTGGGGTTTTTTACAGAACTGAGATCATCTTAGGTGTATTGTTTGGCAGCTCGCTTTCTTCACTTGACAATATATCCATTCCATACCTCATTCATATGTACATACCTCATTCATTCACCAACCTTCATCATCCTTCCTTCTTCCCTCTCTTTCATAGGTACTAGCTGCCTACCCTATAATACTCAGTAGATACCCTGCAAAGTCTCTCTTCCTCTCACCAACTACCAAGTCCATCTTTCCACTTTACTTTTGTTTTTCACCTAATAATTCACTCTGGAGATCTTTTTAATTAGCAATAAGGAGTTTTCTCAATCTTTTAAATGGATACAATTGTTCCATGTATGGATGAAATATCATTTATGTAACCAGTTCCCTAATAATGGACATTCAATTGTTCCTATCACATGGGCTGCAGGAATAACCTTGTACTTGTATCATTACATCAGTCCTTTTTCAGAACTGTGTAGTATTCCACTATATGGCTATACCATGCTGTTTTAACCAGCCCACTACTGCTGGACATTTGGGAGTGTTTTCTGCCTTTTGCTCTTAGACACGAAGTTCTGATGAGAAGAGTTTTACATATTTAATTTTTGGGGGAGCATTTTAATTGGAGCATAAATCCCCAAAGTGGGACACCCAGACCAGGGTGTGTGCAGCTGTCAGTTTAATGCACACTGCCAAATCACCTCTGTACAGGTTGTGCCCATGTGCCCTCCCACCAGCAGGGGAAGACAGGGGTCCCCAGACAGTCTCACTTTGGTGCCTTTCTCTCCTCCTTTCTAGATGCGATCCACCCCTCTGGCAGCTCCTGTGGGTACTCCCTCCAGGAAGAAGCAGTTGAAGTTGGATGATGACCTAGATACCGAGTGTCCCACCCGGAAACAAGCTCGAAGTGGACCCCAGCCCAGGCTGCCCCCCTGCCCTCTGTCCCTGAGACCAGCCCCTGCTCCAGTCCGTGCCCCTGCTGTGACCACTGCCTCCCAGCTTGGGCCCTATGTCCTCCTGGAGCCTGAGGAGGGTGGCAAGGGCTACCGGGCCCTGCACTGCCCCACAGGCACTGAATACACCTGCCAGGTATGTGCCCCAGGGGCCCTCCTCCAGCATCACAGGGGACCTGGAAAGAGCCCTGCCTGCAGAGGATTGCCCCGTTGAGCAGTCCTTATATTAATTTAGTCTTGTGTTTACTAGGGAAGCAGCCAGTGAGCCCCCCAACTCTCTGTCAAGACCCAGGCTGGACTGAGACCACAGAAGTAAACCAGGTGGTCCAGCCCTGGGGAATTTATAGCTTTGACCCCCATAGTGGGTACATGATGCAGGGTTGGAGCTTAGGGACCATGAGAGCAGAGGGGAGAAGCCTCTAATGTATTCAAGGGGGTGTCAGAAAAGACTGAGGGATTAGCCAGGGAGGAGCAGGAAAAGGGAGGTCCAGGCAGGGAAACAGCTGTGCGGAGAGGCCTAGAGGAATGAAAGCATGGCACTTCAGAGAATTAACAGCACTTCACAATGGCCCAGTGGAGAGGGTGTGCAGCCAGGGGCAGGAGATAGGGGCTGACAGCCACTGGGCATGAAAGCACTAGAAAGGACCTCCACTAAGCTGTGGGGAGCCACTGAAGATATTCACACAAAATAAGGATGAGATATGGTAGGAAGCAGAACCCCTGGGATCCTGGAGGTCATTGTGCCCAACCTATGGCCATTTTACAAATACAAAGACTGAGGTCAAGAGAGGAGGAGGGGTTATGCATGAATCCATGACCCCTGGCTTCCTAGGGCAAGGTCCAAGGTTCTTGGCCAAGATCAGGAACTGGGCAGGGCCAAGGCCCCTGAGGGTCAGGCCCACACAGGACATTGGCAGGTCACAGCCCAAAAGGACAGAGATGAGAAAGTATAAAACAGGTATTTAGTATGCAGATGGCTTAGTGTGCATAATCTCTTCTAATCCTCACATGATCTATGAGACAGTTGCTATTATTGGGCCCATTTTATAGATAAAGGACACTGAGGCTCAAAAAAATGTGGTTGCTTATCACATCACAGAGCCAGAAGGTGTCAGAGCTGAGAACGGGCCCTGGCAGGCTGAGTCCAGAGCTGATGCCCCATGCTGGGACAAGTGGTTCAGATACAGGCAGGGTAGATTTGCTCCTGGTAGGCAGGGGTATGGAAGATAGAAGAGACCCAGGTACATAAGGGAGGGGCAAAAGGGGGCCTGGATTCCTTGGGAATGCTCAAGAAGCGAAAGGACTTAAGCCTGCAACTGGAAACAGCAGCAGCTGGCTCTGGCTTCTGCTGATGGGGGTGCCGTGGACAGGGACACAGATCTGGACATGTGGTCCAGCCATCAGCTTTACCAGGGCTCTGAGCTGCCTGATGCAGGTGCCCAGTGCTCTGCCCCAGATATTCTAAGGAACCCCTGAACTGGGGGTCCCCTTCCTGCAGTATCACAGGTTTTTGACTGTTCCCACTGTGGAGAAAGTCCATGCTGAGGGGAGTGACCAAAGTAAGCTGAGATGAGAAGCTGCATGCTTTCACATGGCCCAATTATTTAGAAACATTTATGGGAGTCTTCTAATGTGCTTGCCCCCACACCAGCATGAACTCTGGGGCCTGACCTGTCATTTCCACTTGTTTTTGGTCAGTGTGTAGAAAGATCACCAACCTGTCTTTGTAGATTATCGCCTAATTCATTAATAAACAAACCAGTGAGCACCTTCGAGCACCAAGCTGTGGTTCAAAAATAGACAAAGTTCTGCTTTTATCAAGCTGACCCTCTAGTGAGGGACACGGACAATAAACAAGCGAATAAATAAAATTTATGTCAGGGGATTGTAAGGGCTATGGTCAAAAGGTTGGGACGTGGGGAAGGGGAAGAGGGAGGGTAGCAGGTGCAGGTGATTTTAGCTAGGGAGGTCCTGGAAGACCTCTTTGAGGAGGTGACATTTGAGCAGTGACTGTATAAGTTGGGGGAGCCAGCCCTGTGGGTATCCTAGGGAAGAGCATCCAGGCAGCGGAAAGGCAAGTGCAAATGCACAGAGGCAGGGATGTGCTTACCCTGACTTTAAAAAATCTCTGTGGGTTATTTCCTCCATGCCACTCAACTTTATTTTTTAAGACATAGGCTTACATTTTTTTCCTGATGGATTAGATATGTATATGCTTTATTTATTTTTATCTTCTGTGTGGCATAGCTAAAATAACATGCAAAGGGTTTAAAGTCAGATGAACCAAAGGGAGTATACCAGCTTGTCCGCCGACTAGCTATATGACTTCCAACAAGCCACCTTCCTTCTCTGAACATCTGAGGCTTCCATCTGATGTCCATAAAGCCTCTAGCACATTTCCTGACAAGCTCAGCCACTTTCACCATGATTCTCCCTTCCAGCCATGCTGATCTTTGGGTGTGTTTCTAGAGCTGATCCAGCTCTTTTGTGTCTCAGGGCCTTTTCACTGTCTGTGACCCCCACCTGGAAAACTTATCACATGGTCATTTCTGAGTCTTTCAGGTTACTTCCCCAGAGTCCCTTTTGGACCACACTTTATAAAATAGGTGCCCCCTTCCAAAATATTCCATATTCCAACATCCTTCTTAGTTCCTTTGCAACACTTATCAGAATTGTGTTGATTGCTTAGTGTGCATAAATATTTAGCTTTTGGCCTTGTTTTTCAGCTACTGTCTCCTGTGTTGGACTGTGGGCACCAGGAGGGCAGGGACCATGGCTGTCAGTCAAGTTAGATACTCAGTGGCTGGCATACATCAGAATGAATGAAAGGGTGGGCCAGTGTGATTCCTTTTTAAAAATATATATATATCTTTATTGATTTAAGAGAGAGGAAGGAAGAGGGAAAGAGATAGAAACATTCATGATGAGAGAGTCATCACTGATCGGCTGCCTCCTGCACACCCCAACTGGGCATGTGCCCTTACCGGGAATTGAACTGCGATGTCCTGACTCCTAGGTCAGTGCTCAACCCCTGAGCCATGCCCTGCCTGGCCGGCGGGTGTGATTCTAGAGAATGGAAGCTATGATGATGATGATGATGGTGGTGGGCATAAAGTTACTTCTGCATCATTTCCTCTTTTGGATTTCCCTGCTTTCAGGGTTATTTTTGTTTGGGTTTTTCAATTATCTTAAGATTAAGCCTATATAAAGGTAGCAAGCAGGTTAGGAGCACTAATGGCTGTGTGGCCTCTCAGCTTTGTCGGGGTTGTGTGGCTAGCACCTAGCAGTGCCTAAAGGGTCAGCTGTGACTGTTTGCAAGGCCAGCCTGGGCTCCATGCGGTCCCCACCTGTGCCCACGCCATGCTCTGCCCACAGGTGTACCCAGTCTGCGAGACCCAGGCGGTGCTGGAGCCCTACTTGCGGCTGCCCCCCCACAGACACGTGGCGCGGCCCGCGGAGGTGCTGGCAGGCACACACCACCTTTACGCCTTTTTCCCGCGGCCCCACGGGGACATGCACAGCCTGGTGCGCCGCTGTCGTCGCCTGCCCGAGCCTGAGGCCGCCGGGCTCTTCCGCCAGATGGCAGCCACTGTGGCGCATTGTCACCAGCATGGTCTAGTCCTGCGAGACCTCAAGCTGCGACGCTTTGTCTTCACCGACCGTGAGAGGTGAGTGTGGCAACAGAGAACCCACCCATAGACACACCCAAGAAGTGGGCCATAATGGGGAAACTGAGGCTTAGGACAGCAAAGTAGCCTGCACAAAAAGTGCAGAAGACTGGACTAGTACCTCTGCCTGGCGCCCAGGAAGGTGGCTCAGTCCTGTTGGAAGCCCCTTGGGGTGGAGCATTGCCTTTGTGACAAGCGCCGGTGATGAAAAGCGTAGCTGCTCCGTGTGACTTGGCCTGGATTCTTACAAATATGAGGTGGACACTGTTATTGTCCCCATATGGCAGATGAGGAAACTGAGACCCAGAGAGGTCAGTAATGCCTAAGACCCCACAGCTGAATAAATAGTAGAGCTGGGATTTGAACCCAGATGTGACACCAGAGCCAGGGTCCTAACTCCCTCTGAACCTGAGAGGTGGGAGGCCTGGCTGGGTTACTTGCTGACTCTGGGTGACCCAGTGTCTCTGGACCTGTTTCCCTGTAAGGATGGGAAAGAACTAGATTGTCAAGATATTTCCAGGATTTCAAGGCCACTGGCAACAGCTAAAATATGCCCTGAGTTCCCCACACAGGAACCTTTTCCTGTAAAACTGTAAAGCAGTGGTTTTTAGAGGGGGGGGGGACAGAAAGGGACCTGGTATCCTGTCCCCTCCCCAAATCCTGGGAGTATGCAGGATGTTTCAGAGAGCTCACCAAGCCTCCAGGTCCATGTGAACATCCATAAAGAACATTAATTTCATGTCAGGATTTTTTTGGGGGGGGAGGGAGGAGGGTGACCCCATTGAACTTTTAAAAAACTTTTTATTTTCAAATACTTTTAGACTTTCAGAAAAGTTGCAAAAGATAGTTCAAACAGTTTCCATATTTCCTTCACCCAGGTTCCCCTAAGGTTAATGTCTTACATGACCATAGTATAACTACCAAAACCAAGACATTAACCTTGGTTTCATACTACTAACTAAACCACAGATAGGTTCAGATTTCACTAGTTGCCCACTATGTTCTTCATCTGTCCAGGATTCAATCCAGGTCCCCACCCTGCATTCACCAGTCATGTCTCCTTAGTGTCCTCCAGTCTGACACAGGTCTTCAGTCTTTTCTTGTCTTTTTCTTTTTTAAATTAAATTTATTGGGGTAGCATTGGTTAATATGATCATATAGGTTTCAGGTTTGGGTTTCTGTGTTATAAGATCTGTTTATTGCACTGTGTGCCCACCACCCAAAGTCAAATCTTCTCCTGTTACCATATATTAGGACCCCCTTCACCCTCCAGTCCCTTCCCTCTGGCAACCACCACACTGCTGTTTGTGTTCAAGTTTCAGTTTTATATCCCACATATGAGTGAACTCTTAATGTTAACTTTTTCTGACTGACTTATTTCACTTAGCACAATATTCTCAAGGTCCATCCATGCTGTCGCAAATGGCAGTATCTCACCCTTTCTGTAACTGAGTAGTGTTCCATCGTGTACATGTACCACATCTCCTTTATCCAGTTTCCTTGTCTTTCTTGACCTTGGTGCTTTTGAAGAGTACTAGACAGTTATTTTCCAGAACACCCTCAATTAGGATTCAGCTGATGTTTTTATCATGGTTACACTGAGTTTATACGTCTTTGGCAAGAATATCACAGAAGCCCTGGCTAGGTGGCTCAGTTGGTTGGAGTGTCGTCCTGTACACCAAAAGGTTGCAGGTTTGATTTCTGGTCAGGGCATATACCTAGTTTTGGGTTCGATCCCTGATCAATGTTTCTCTCTTCCTTCCTTCCTCTCTAAAAATCAATAAATATATCCTCAGGTGAGGATTTCAAAAAAAAGAATATCACAGAGGTGATAGGCCCTTCTCAGTGTGTGATTTCAGGAAGCACATGACAGTGGTGTGTATTACTGTGATTTTAACTTTGATCGTTGGCTAGCGTGGCATCTGCCAAGTGCTTTCACTGTAAGGTTCCCAATTTACTCTTTGTAATTAATAAATGCCTTGAGTAATACCTTGTCATTAATAAGTACCTCCAGGTGCTTTGAGGCTATGTGTGTAAATATACTGTTTCTCCTCAAACTTTTGCCCACTAATTTTAGTAGCTGTCTGTCTTCCTTGTAGCAGTTATACTGTGATGTTTGTCTAAGGGTGACTTTGTATTTCCTCCTGTTTTTTTTTTTTAAACATATCTTTATTGATTTCAGAGAGAGGAAAAGAGGGGGAGAGAGAGTGATAGAAACATCAATGATGAGAGAGTCATTGATCAGCTGCCTAGCCCGCAACGTGGGCATGTGCCCTGATCGGGAATCGAACCCTGATCACCTGGATCCTAGGTCGATGCTCAACCGCTGTTCCATGTGCGGCCGGGCTCCTTCTCTGTTTTATACTAAAAAAAAAAATGTCTTTATTAAGAAGTGGAATATAAAATTTATAATGATTTTTAAGCTAATGCACAACTTCAATCATTTGGAGCTTAGGGTAGATACAACACACACCTGTGACCTCCCAGAGGTGAGAAAGCGCTCCTTTCTCTTTTCAAGGCAATAGTTTGAGGAGTACTGTTGGTAGAAGAGGGGCGGTGGAGTCAGACCTGGGTTCAAATCCTGATTCTACTTTTTAACCTGTTCTTTGGCCTTGAGCAATGGCTTCACCTGCCTAAGCCTTGATTTCTGCAGCTGTAAAACGGACCAGTAATGCTGACACTAACCCCCACACCCCCGTGCTGTAAGTCACAGGATTGATCAACGTTGGTGAAATGCCAGCAGGCACCCAGGACGTGGCGCCATAGGATAAGATGAATAGCAGTGGGAACAGAATGGTTATTGTGAAAATAATCTAGAATGCTCCGTGGGAGTTGTTTAAAGCAGAAGTTGTAAATGGAGGGCTTCATAGTTGTTGTTTTTTTGGCTCCCACATACAGGTTAGTTTTCAACTGAAATAGGTTGCTGACATTTCAAAAACGGACTTTTTTGTTGAAATATGATTTCTGGCTTCTCTTGGAGAAAAATGAGAATTTTTCTCAGGCTTGCGGGCATCCTGCTCAGGCAAGGTGGTGGGTGCCTGGAGCCTGGGCGTGGCACTCTTCACCACATGGGGCCCCTTGGGAGCTGTGCGAACAGTTCCTAGCACTGGCAGTGGTGGGTGAGAGCCAGGGTTCACATCCCAGCCCCATGCCCTGTGGATGTGAAATGGTGTCCTTCTCACAGGTTGTATGAGGATGCAATGAGATGCATCAGGTACCGAGCTTAGCTCAGGGCCGGACACCCGGTGGACAGTTCATAAATATTGACTGTACTGTTGTTAATGTTACCTTTTTAGGCAGGGTTTGTGCTGAGATATTTGGCACAAAATGTTTCTCTCATTTTATTACCTGCCTGGACCCTAAGTTTGCATCTGTTTTACGAGAGGCCTATGCCTTCAGTCCCTTCCCTCAGGGACTGTTGGAAAATGTGCCCTACTTAAAACTTAATTGCTCTGTGACCTTGAGCAATTGCTTAACCTCTCTGAGCCTGGGCTTCCTCATCTGTAAAATGGGCTCAATCATCCAGCTACACAGGACTGGCTCACGTCTGCCAATGGCAGCAGGCACTCAGGAAGCGGGTAACATTCAGGGTGATAGCGTGCGGGTGTGGCTTGGGAGTTCCAGCAGGAGCTGACCCCTCTGTCTCTCTCCTTGCCACAGGACAAAGCTGGTGCTGGAAAACCTGGAGGACGCCTACGTGCTGACTGGGCCAGATGATTCCCTGTGGGACAAGCAGGCGTGCCCGGCCTACGTGGGACCTGAGATCCTCAGCTCGCGGGCATCCTACTCAGGCAAGGCGGCAGATGTCTGGAGCTTGGGTGTGGCGCTCTTCACCATGCTGGCCGGCCACTACCCCTTCCAGGACTCAGAGCCTGCCCTGCTCTTTGGCAAGATCCTCCGGGGGGCCTATGCCCTGCCTCAGGGCCTCTCAGCACCGGCCCGCTGCCTGGTCCGGTGCCTGCTTCGACGGGAGCCAGCTGAGAGGCTCACGGCCTCGGGCATCCTGCTGCACCCCTGGCTGCGAGAGAACCTGATCCCCTCAGTCCCATCTCGAGCCCACCTCTGGGAGGCTGACCAGGTGGTCCCTGAAGGGCCAGGGCTAGAGGAAGTCGAGGAAGAGGAGGGGGCAAGGGAAGTGGGCCTGTATGGCTAGGGCTACCCCACCAGACTCTCAACTGTGAACTTGGATTGAGTTTGGGACGTCCCCAAACTCTCTCCTGCCTCTTTGAACTGAGACAAACCTTAAGTGCCTTCTAGGAGGGAGAAAAGAGGAGGGGTATGTGGTGTGCTGTGGGCACACCTGTGTGGTTCACACACCTGTGCACATAAGCTCATGCATGCGACAAGTCTTTCTTGGGGCTCTCTCTGTGTGCCTTGTTGTAGGTGCTGAGAATACAGCTGTGAACACAAGACAAAACTCAGAGCCGACAGTACCTTTCTATACCCATAGGCCAGTGTCTGCACTGGACTGGGTACACTTAGGACAGGTGATGGCATCCACTGGTGCTAGCACCCCGGCACCTCCGTCATGGGACAGTCCCTTTCACAATCAACCCAGCTGCCTTTGTATGTTGCATCCTGTGCCAAAGGCTTCAGGCCTCTCCCCTGCAGCTTAGGGCCCCAGAGCCCAGGCCCTGCTGGGAATTCTGCCCCAGCAGCTGTGTCCCCTTGGCCAGAGGACTCTTTGTCCAGGCCTGAGCCAAGGATTTGAGATGGAAGATCAAGTATCCAAATCGTGAGGCGGGTCCTCATCTAGCTCGAGGAGAGGTTTGGAATGAGGGTCCAGGCCTGTTCTCCTCAGCAGCCCCTGACCGGAGCAGGAGTTGGAGAACAGGATTAGGTGGGGTCTGCCCCCTGGCCCCTGGGAACGTCAACCCAGTTCTGAGGACACTTGGGGTCAGGACCCCACATCATCACTATAGGTTTTGGATGTCATGAGTATATATTTTTACCTTGTGCCTAATAAAGGAGTTACGAAATACTTTTATTTCTCCAGGACATTTCTTCTGTCCTCTCATCAGTTTTCCCAAACCCGCCCCACCGTGAGTCCTTGGCACTCCTTCTCTTTCTTCTGGAGGCTATGGTGTCTCATCTGGGGTAATTCTGCAAGTAACTGGAACCCTGAGTCAAAGTAGCCTTAAGAAGGAGGAAATGTATTTCACACAAAGCAAGAAGTCAGCAGGTGGGGTGGGTTCCAGGGCTGGTTGATTGGCGCAGGAACCCATCGTGGAGGAGGTGAGAGGCGTCAGATTCTGGATCTATTCTGCAGGTGGATCCCACAGGACCTGATGATCTATGGGATGAGGGATGGGAGGAAAATTAAGGGGTAGGCTGCAAGGGGATGCAAAGGACTTCCAGCCTGCGGAGAGCAAATGCAAACTGCATTAGCGACCAATAAGGGGTGGAGAGTGATGGCGAGAGGAGGCAGCCTGGCTGGCTGAGGGCGGGTTCCCGAGCCTGCCAGGCGCGGATTCAAATCCGACTCTGGCCTCGGCCGGTCTTCAGCTGAGTTTCGTTTCCTCGTCTGCAAACTAAGCTGCGGGCCGCGTCTGCCCACCCGGGTGCCCTTGGCTCC